GGTCAGTCCCTGGTACAGAGAAGTTGACATCCCAGCTTCATCAGTGCCTGCTTTCTCTGGAGGAAGAAGCTGCCCATTGCTTCCTCTGTTTCTGCACCAGTGCTCAACTGTCTCAGTTGGCAGCTAGTGCATGGATGCCTCTGTACCTTTGTCAGCAGGCCTGAAGGAGTTATGCTATTCCCAGGTAAGTTTTTGAGGATGAGACCGTTAAGGCAGAGTTTCATTCTGAGTCTTGATAGCGTAGGAGTCTCTGCAGTGGCTTGGGGAAATCGTCTCTGCAGTTATGCATGTAGTCTGTGCTCCTCACCTAGTAGGTAAGAGGGTGTTTCCTGCCTGGGGATGGTCTGGGCCCAGCACTGCACACCCCAGAGCAGAACCTGTTGTTTCTGAGTCGTCCTTCCCTCTCTGGTCCAGGTTGGTAGTGACTGAGATGTGATGGCTGCGATCTGACCCATGGGAAATGCAATGTCTCAGGCCAGTTTCAGCCAGGTAAATCCATGCATGGCTCTCTAATCTGGTTACTTATCCAGTCTGTACCATCGCCTAGTCCTGGGGTCAGCAGCCTATGCTGTGATCACATGGCACAAGGTGATCAGCAAACAGCAGGGGTTTTATTTTGCTGGCTTAGACAGATAGAAAACTTCTATCTTTTTCTTTGTACCATCATACAGATAAGTGGGTTGTATTTTGTCTCTGCAAGGGATAGGAGCTCCTTGCTTCTGCTGAGTTCCTACTGGTTTGGGAAAAGAAAATGTGAGGCTGCTGACCCCTGGGTTATGCTATGCATGAATGTACTTAACAAAGGGAGCGGTGCTGAGCCCCTACAGTATCACAGTACAGCATCGGAGGCTTCTGTCCCAAGTGTTATGTGTCTGTCACAGTCTTTTGGCTCCTTTCCACAGTGGCAATCTTGCAGTTCTGCCTACAGGTACACCAGGGTGCTTGAAGAAGAGGCAGACATGCCCTAGTGGGAAATGTTACTTCCCTTTCCATATTCTTGAAACTGCTGAATCCTTTTGACTTTTAAGTGAAATTGCTTTGAAAGAGAACAAAGTCATGGAGGGCAGTAAAAGATGGTGGACTAGCAAGTCAGTTTTGAAAAGAGCTCCTGTCTACGGCAGGAGACAATTATATGGAACCCCAGATATATTGCTTTGAGAACTTGCTGCTTTTGAGAGACTCACCCATGCCTTTTGAGCACCTCAGTACTCTTCAAGCAAGTGGTCCTGCAATATAGCTGGACAAGATTTGGAGACCTGAAAACACATCTGAAATACTTAATAGTTATTCCTTCTCCTATTACACTCAGCAAAGTACCGAACTCTTTGTCCCCAGATGGGAACAACAGTCTCAAACAACTTGCTGCCTATGGATTCACCACAGAATTGTTGTAAGGTGTACAGTTTCCTCTGTACCCAGCAGAGAAGAGCTCAGGTAGAAATGTATCCTGTGCAAAGATTACTCAGGGGTTGCCTGAAGAGACTGCTGGGACTTGATTTTTTTCTCTTCCCAAGCACCTCTGGTTTTTGACCATATTAAAACTGTGGGAGTTTTGAACTAGTTCTTAGTGTCATACAAATATGAGAGAGCTTCATATACGGAGAGAGCCTCTCAAATATGAGAGCTTTCCTCACCTCAGAGCGAAATTTCTTCTCTGGAAATTGTAGACCTGCTTTGTCTTAGGATGAGACAGGCATGTGGAGATAGGTTATATGGGGACGTTCTGACATGGTGTTATGGACACTGAACCTCTTTCTACTCTCCCTAATTGTTTGAGAGCAAGAACCAACAAGGCAGAAAGCAACCATAAAGAAAGTGAACCCAACTGAACTGCACCTCTGGGAGTAGTGTTGCTTGAATCATTTGGTGAATACTCTGCTGCTGTCTTCTCTTCCAGTTGGGGGCAGTGAATCTCTGCGTTCCTACTGGAAGATGTACTTGCCCAAAGTGCTGTTGCTAGTCTATGTTGTGGACTCGGCTGATCATGCCCGACTGCCTGTGGCGAAACAGCTGCTTCATCAACTGATCCAGAACAACTCCACCCTGCCCGTGGTGATTCTGGCCAACAAGCAGGTAAGAGTTCCCTCCTGCTAGCTGAGCTTGGGCTGGCAGCAGCTCTGGAAACAGCAACAAAGCCTTTCAAAGGAGGCTTTGTGCCTTTAAGGAGGCCACATGGCTGAGAGTCGTTCTGACACACCTGTTGACCGCAAAGCAAAATAATCTGAGGTTGAGTTTTGGATCTGCAAGATGCAGGTCCTGTGCCTGGCAAAGATGCAGTCAGAGCTGTGGGTGGAAACTGCTGCACAGGTTTTAGAGCTGCAAGGGAGACCACAGTTAGATCTGGAGTTAGATTTCTGTTCTGAGTATCTGCCTAGAAGTGCCACTCTACCTAGCAGCAGCTAAACAGTGAAGCACCATTGTTTGCCTTCAGATTGTCCAGTTGGTTGCTCCTAAGGCTGCTGTTGAAATCTGAGAGAAGGAGCAGCTTTCCTCACAAGGCAGTGCTTCCTCCTAAGCTCTTTGTGAAAGTGTTGATGATTGGTGCTGTACCTGGAATAGAATTGAGCCTCCGGTATGGTCAGATGACGGAACAGCCCAAGGTTTTTAATCATAGATTTATCAGAGCTGTGTGCTCAGTTTGCTCTACGTTGTTGCCTCCTAAATTTCTGGTAACTGAGGCATGTTACTAGTCATTTGTGTTACTCTTGAACATAAGTGCAGGCGTGGGCTTCATCAAACTCAAATGCACCAGCAACAGTGGTGATTAAGAAGGTAGGCAGGGCATGACTGTTGTACATTTGCACTGGTCTTGTAACTCTCTGATGTACACTTGGGGTCTTGGGCCAGCCAGGCTTTTGTTTGCCTTTTACAGGTGGTCTTACAGAGTTAACAGAAACACTGGAATTAGTATAGAAATAGAAACAGAACTGTATTCATATTTCTTTGTGAAGAACTTAGGTTAGGGATAAACTCTTTTTCCCAAAGCATTTTAGGGCATAAGAACTTGACCTCATAGAAGGTAGGTAAGAATGGTGCCCCAGAGCTTTTGAGACCCTTCCCCTACCTGGACAAAAGCAGTGGCTCAAAATGGGAATGGTGCCGCCACCTCTTGCAACTAACAGGCTTGTTTTATTTTTGTGTATCAGGACCTTGAAGGCGCATATTGCATCACTGATATCCACGATGCTCTGGCACTGTCTGATATTGGGGACGAGAGGAAGATGTTCTTGATTGGTACCCACGTGGCAGAAGACGGCTCTGAGATCTCCTCCAGCATGAAGGATGCCAAGGAGCTGATAGCGCAGCTGGTTTTGGAAACACAGTGACAGCTCTTTTCCTACAAGGTGGTGTTTGTGGCTGAGGGAGAGCAGGTGTTACTGTATGGCCAGTTTGCCATGCGGCAACTGAAATGTACAGATATGTTTTCCTTGTGGGTGTGGAATTCCTCTGAAAGTGATGTCTAGTTGGTAAGGAAATCTAATTTATAGTGGTTTGAAAATACATTTGAGAAGTAGTCTATTTTTAGCATGTTTGTAGGGGGAAATTAGTCTCTCAGACAGCAGAGTTCAGGGGATATAAGGCTTAGATGGGCTAGATAGCTTCATGCCAGGTGGGAATCAAGCACTGATGTCAGTGGAACAAAGTTGCATCCAATGAATTTAACCTGGCTTGATGTCTCAGGCTTAAACTGAAATATGTTTACTTCACAGATTTTATAGAATCCTGTTAATGGTGCTTAACAGGTGTTCTGTTAAAAATGAGACCTCACTTCTTGTCAGTGTCAGAAACTGAAAGTGCTGCAACTAGTATTTTTGACAGTGACAATTCTTGCTGTGTTGGAGCTGGCTGTTAAGGGAGTGGCAAATTTGTAATCTCTGGAAATTGGATTGGTTACTGCTTGTTTAGTGGGTAAGAACAAGAAAATGAAAGCAGTCATACATTAAGTGTTTCTTTGCCTACAGGCAAAAAACCAAAATGGTGTAATTTGAGGTAGTGACTGGAAGCATTTAAGTTAAATTGGCACCAAAGCTGGGAGACTCCTTCTTCAGGCTGAGCGGCTTATTTCAGCTTAGTCCGGGATGTCCTCGAACAAGCAGTCTTACGTGTGAAAACGCTGTTGTTTCTTGTGGTTTCTGTTAGCACAGCAGGCGGGGACGGTGATGAGCTGCTGATGGAGTGTCACTCTCCCAGTGTCCTCCTAATTATACTCGAAGGAGGGCCCCGTGAGCAGTCCTGTAAGGACCCGTTTTGCAACCGCATCTATTGTACGAGGCTTCTGTAGTTTTGTCCTTTGTAACAGATGCATAAAGCAGAAAATTCCACCCTAACCCGTGGTCTGGGCTTCATTTACCCGAACAAGGAGTTGGGCTGCGGGGAGCTCTCGAGGCCTCTCTGGGTGAGCCGCCGTGAAAACAGGCCTTGTCACCTTAAACCCATGGGTACAGGCCGGGGCCGTACCGCTGCCGCCCTTCCCACCCGGCTTGTGTGTGCCCCGGGCCGGCCGGAGCCGGGCGGGGCGGGCGGAGCCGTTGGCGGGCGGGGAGGGCCGGGCATGGCGGCGCCGGGCCCATCCAAGGGCTGGGGCCGAGGCCCGCGGGGCGGGCTGGGGCGCCCCTCCGCTCCGGCAGCGGCTCCGCCGCCCCGGCCCCGCGCGGGGCTGCAGGTGCAGGGCTCTGGAGGGACGAAGGGCTCCCGGGCACGGAGGGCTGGTTGCCGGCAGGCCCCTGGCACCGAAGCTGGGAGTGGTGATGCCGGCCCCCGATTCCTGGCCAGCGCTGCCCTCGGGGCACGTGGCTACCTGAAATCACCCCTGTTTTCCCCACGGTGCGACTGTTTCACTATCTCTGGCTTTCCTGTCATCCCATGCCACACCCCCACACTTCCCACCTTAAAATACAGCCGGTTGTTTTCTGTCGGCACCAAGTCCCAGTTTAACCCAGCTGCTATACCCCCGAGGCTCTGAAAAGTTCCCCCCCCCTCCCCCCGAAGCTACTGAAGTCAGTAATAAGGGATAACTACACTGAGTCAGGTGGGAGTCTGCAGGTTGGTGGCCACTGGTGCCCAGGAGGGAGGATGCTGATGAGTGGATGTGGTGTTGGGGTGCTCTATCCTTCAGCCTTGGGGCTGCCAGCATCCCCCAGTAAGGGGCATCCACTGGTGAGGAGCACTTCATGTGCAGGGTGCATTACCAGGCAGCTACACCGAGAAGGGGCCAGGGAAAAACAATACAAATACCTGCTGAGCAATTGTATTCTGAGGAGATGCACAAACTTCATCTGCCACATGATTATTTCATGCTAAAGAGCAGGCAGCCCAGACCACAGGTGTTACCAAGCTTTTAAATTCACCTATTTTTGTCTTTGCAGTTTCTTATTCATCTGTATACACACACACCAGGTAAGAAACCCTCCCAACCTCAGCCTCCTGGCTGAGTGTTGAGACCATGCCCTGTGTTTCTCGGGAGGGCTCAGCTGGGGATTTACACCAAGCAGTGAGTCGATATATTGGATGACATAGTGGTAAACACTGAGAGGAAATGATGCCTGGTTTTCCCCTTCCCTCAGCTTTTCATGACAACATCTGACCATCCTGCTCCTTAAAAAGGGAAGCTGTGACTATTTGCTTTACAAGGAATTGATCTCAAAGAGAGTTGATCCCCCTTAAGCAATGAGTCTGTGAGAGCTCAGGCAGCAGAGAGGAGGTGTTTCTTTGTCTGGCTGCAGCAAGTCCTCATTTTCCTTACTGGGAAGCATGAGCAGGACCAAACAACAAAGCGCTCCCCCAGGGTTGTCTCATTGTCAGTGAGGTGGCTTAACTCCTTCAAATTGCAGAGCTGCTGCAGGTGCATCCTGTATGGGGATGCCTGTCTGTCCAGAGATTTTGCCATGATAAAAGAGTCAAAAGTAATATTTTTTTTATTAATTGGGAAAAAAAAAATTAATACTTAATGATTGTCAAGTTGAGAGACCTGATTTGAACATACATGTGGCTCGTTCATTGGCTGGGTCATGATGCAAGCTTTGCACAGCAGTGTCCAAGCCAGCAGTGCAGGGCATTAGGGCCGTGTGCACGCTGTGCTAGATTTGGCTGTGGCCATGTGGTGGTTATGTGCCAGCAGCAGAGGAAAAGCAGCAAGCCTGCTTGCAGAGATAGTGCTAGCTCTGTGGTGCAGCTAGGCTGGGGGAGACCTCTGCCTGTTAATCCTTTACCCCCTTGCAACTTAGCAAGGAAAAGCTGCTGGGCAGCCACTTGGGAATAAACAGCTGAAGCTGGTTTTTGGCTCCTGAAATGATGTCTGCCTTCCTGACTCTGTCCCATTTTGAACTGGTGGCAGGGGGCCAAAGTCCTACAGGCACAGTTCCCTGTGTGGGATCTCAGTGGGAGCTGTGTTTCCAGTGTTGTAGCTGGCAATTGGGTGTGACGGGGAGATAAATCAGCAGGCACTTCACAGGGAGCGTGTGGTGAAGATGCTGTAACAGCAGCCTGCCGTTGTTAGGATCTCTGGTGCTGAGCACTTTGGCAAGCATTTGTGGGACTTGGCATCTCACTAGAGGTATTAGCCTCATCAGAGAAACCACAGGTGTGTCCCCAAAGCACAGACTGTTTTCTACCAGCAAATCTCTCTCTCTGTTGGTGTCCTTGCTCTTCTCTAGGGCTATGCTGCCTTATTGAAGGGTGATACTGAGGAGGGAAGCAATGCACCAGGATTTCAACTTCTGTGCTTTTTCCATGGTGGGGCACTTCCACAGCTGCCTCACAGTGTTGTTGCAGCCTCAGTGGGTGGGTATAGGCTTGGTCTGTGACATCCAAGAGTTGTGCAACACACTTGTGGCACTGGGTCATCTCATTGTTCTCTCTGTACCATGCTCATAAAGCACAAGCATTTCCCAGCCATTGGGATTTCAGGCCTGGTACTCTTGATCAGCAGGAACAGCAGTGATATCTGATCTTTCTGAAAGGTTTTGGTCTGTTGTATATTCAATAAAAACATTTTCACAGCTGCTCCTAGGCCAGAGACCATGTACGTTTCTGTGTCTCTAAGCATCTAAGACCTCTGTGCTAAATGGACTGAAATAAAATATGCTCCTAAAGCCATGTGGGTACAGTGCTGTCTCCATGATGCCTTTTAGTAAACCACAACAGTGTTGATAACAGGTGTTTTTGTTCGTCTGGGCTCCCATAGGTTGGGAGATCATCCCTCTCCTACCTGCAGAGGTTTCATGTATATAACCAGAAAAGTTCCTTCCCACTCTACCTGCCATGTACCAAAGGGACCTTGCAGTGAATACAGAATTGCAAATTTGTGTCTCTACAATCCAAAAGAAAGCACAAAAATTCATGGGCTGGTGAGTTTGCCAGATTGAATGAATGGAAAGTACTTGAAGAGAGAGATCCTTAAACACGCTCTCTCAAGGGAATGGAGGCAAAAGCACTGGGGTTTCAGAGTGCGTTATATGGCTTTGAGTACAGCAGTGGTTTTTTTATGCTTTGTTAGTTTAACTGTATGTTTAATGGCATTTTTGTCCTTTTCTGCAATTCTGACAGGATACGTGTACTTGCGGAACCCAAGCAAGTAGCTTATGAAAGCAGTCCCAGGTAAGTAGGTGCTCAAACAGCCCTTGCTCAGGGTCTGGGGACTGATGGGGCTCAGGCAGATCAAACCCTTGGCCATTGTCTTGCTACTGCTTTCCTCTCTGTCTCCAGAAAAGCAGACCGAGAAATTCAGTGCTTGAAGGGCTCCCTCCAATTTGCCCTTTCTTGTGTTCAGTCAAAAAACTGGGCTTGACTTGGGTCTTGCCTTTGTTGCCCCATCTGAGCGGCCCAGCTGAGATGTTGCAGGGTAGGATGGTGCTGTGGTGCAAGGTGACTGGACCTCATTGGAATCACAGGCTACTGTATCCTGGAGGACACAGTCCAGCTTTAGTAACAGAGTTGCTGTCTGCAGGATGTGGTCAAGCTATAGCTTGATAAGCCAGGGCAACAGTCTCTTGATAACTCTTCTCCATTGTCTGGATGGGTCTCAAAAAAGGCTTGAGAAACCCACTGCCCTACTGTTCCCTGTCCCGACTACTCTGAAACCCTCTCCCACCATGGCCACTCTCTCACTGGAGGATGAGCAACTCCAAATTAGCCCTGGGTACAGGAGAGTAACCACTAATGTGCTGTAAAACCTCACCCACTTTCCATGGCACACCCTGACTGTAACATTATTTTTACTGTCATACCTGTGGTATAGTTAGGTGGTAATAGTGAGGCAAAAAAAATGTAATCATGAAACTCCCTCAGGGGTTTCAGAGATGTAGTGAAATGACTCTTTCTGCACATCCTCCAGTAACTAAAACCAGACATAACTTGAAGGCTCTTTTGTTTTTGAGTCGACAACAACCACCTGGAGAGTGTTAGGAAGTTCAGTGCAACAGAAGGTGAATGCTCAGGGGATGGTAGTGGCACTTTAAAGCTGTGGGGAGCCATAGAGAATGTGTGTGTGTTCCATCCTAAGAAGGGAAGGATAATCCCAGCAAACACATTTCCCCCTTGTGCATATTACCAAAATTTTACACCCTTTCTGTTCTTGCTAGGCTTGAGTGGGGAAACCAAGAGACGATCTGGCCTCTATCATGGGGGGCTATGACATCTCGACCATCTTCAAGAATAACGTTACTGTCCAAATCCAAGACAGACTTTTGCGAGCACCAGCGAAGGTCAGTGATGCAGTACCACAACCTGGGGAAGGAGGCAGCTCAGAGTGTGGTCTCTAATCAGGGGAGACATGCTGTCTCTTAGGGGAAGGGGAGATGCCATCTCCTCTGCTATCACCACTGCCCCACAGGGAGCCCCATGGCATTGAGACTCACCAGGCTGTTTTGTGCTTGGAACAGGGGCTGCCTATAGCAGGGAGGAAAGTGCTATGGGAGCATAGTCACCCTGAGTGCTTGACTTCCAACAGGGTTAGGAACTGGGGGGTGCTAAGTTTTGGTGCCCTTTTATTTCCTCGTACCCACTGCCTGGCTGTGGGAAGGACTTCTGCAACACATGGTTGCTCATCTGATGATGCAGGTTCCCATCAGCGGCCTTAGGAGCTTGCCTTGATCTCAGTCTTCAAGCACACGGGAGCATGTTCCTCTGCTCTAACAAAAAAACCCCAGCCAACAGCTCTGCTTTGGCTTGGAAGCAGACATCACGTGCATGCATGCGTTCCTTGACGGAAATGTGTGTGTTGCACCTGCAAGCACAGGGGTGCTAGAGTATTCCCTGTTCGTACTGGGGCTGATGCAGCCTAGCCAGGCACCTGGATACAATTAATGATCCCCTGCATCCTCTTGGATTCTGACCTAAATCTTGAAAGTAAAGGTCAGCCACAGAGACATCTTATAGCATCCTGCTGCTGGAAGGAATCCAGGTCTCTTGCCTTGAGTAAGACCTCTGCTGTCACTGCATGTTGAAGAACTAGACCATGTTTTGGAATAAGAGTGAAAAATGATATAAAAAGTGTAAACAACAGTGGCCTTGGGTGATGCTGCATTACTTGAAGCAAGTCATCTCTAACTCTCTTAGAGGAGATGAAGCTCTTTTGGAGACAGGAAGGTGGTTGCTAATCTGTAAGAGCGTGGAGAGGAAACTGTTGCACTCCTGGCTTTCCTCTGCCTGGAGGGATGTCAAGACATGCATGTTTGTAGTTTTCTCCCCTCCTGCCACTATCACCATGGGTTCTCATCCTCTTGAGAGCTTTTGCCTCTTGCTAATGGTGTCCATCTGACAGCCCTTTCTGCCTTTCCACTTACCTCTGCTTACTTCTTCCCTGGTGATGACAGGCACCTTCCAACAGTTATGGCTGATGGAAAGCTGGATGAACAGACCATTTTTTGAGCCTGGGGAGATGAAAGGAGCTACAAGGGCACAAGATGCTATCAGGCCATTGTAAAAAAGAGGTTTCTAAATTGGCAGAGCTGACCAACAGCTGGGTGTTGTGGAGTGGCTTCTTGAAATGATCAAGGAAAAGCCTAGCCTTTGAAAGCAATGCACTGAGGATGCTTAAAAGAGAACTCTTCAGACACAAACACCATTTACCTTTAAAGTGAAGAAATCTGAAGTGTAAATGCCTATTTGTTTGTGGCTTTTCCATGTGCACCAGGGCCAGCTTTTGTCCATGCAGCAGGCATGGATGTTTAACCTATCTTAGGATACCATCTGCCAGGATCATGTTCTCTGTCAGTCGCCTTCTGCTAACCCTTCTGTGCTGTTCCTCAAAATCCTTCTTCTTGTACAGCTACAGATCAGTGATCGGTGGGCGTCCCCCGCTAGTGAAGTTTGCCTACCCTTCTGAGCGGCTGCTGAAGTTGGCTGAACCTAAAAAATTCCACCCGGCTTCCCTGCAAAAAAGGTGAGAGACTAGAAAGCCTATAGGGTGCTACAGGTAGGCCCTTGGGCCTTGTAGCATCAGTGCAGCTTCAAAGTAATAAATGCAGCAACAGAGGATGGGTATAACAGAGGGCAAAATTCAGAGTGGGATCTCTGCTGGCATTAGAACTTCTGGAAGCTCTCATGGGCTGAGTTCTACACTGGAAATGGCCACAAACAAAGCTGTCTTCTACTGCAGCAAACATGAGGCTTAAACGTCCCAGCTGCAGCCTGGTTAAACCACAGTGGGGGAGTATCTGTGAGTGGCGGTGCCATGACTCTCTGCTTCCAGATCCCCCGAGTGGCCCGTGTCACTATCTGCACTGACCTATAATGCCTCCCCACGGATCCTCCAGCTTGCCCGGCCAAAGTTGCTGCATCCAGAGTTCATTCCACCCAGAGAGGTGAGGAGGTGGTTGAGTGAGATTTGGAGGGAACAGTGATGCAGCAAACTGTCCTGAGTTTTTACATCCTGTATCCTGCCCCTGGATGTGCCCAATGTGTGCTATGGAGGGGAGAAGCTGTCTGGTTCTGCTGGGATTTATGATACTGAGAGAAACTGCCTTCTCAGAGTGAGATACTGTTTTTGCAAATCTCCCTGCTGAGAGACAGAAAACAGCCAGGCTGGAGCAGCCTAGTATAGCAGGAGAGCCAAGGGAGGCATCTGGGCTGCATCCCCTGATAAAGCAGCCTGGGAAACTGGAGAAACCTGATGGGAATGGTCTGCTTAGCTCTTAGGGAGTACAGTCATGTTTGTAGTTAGGCAGCTTTGCTCCTCTATATAGGGGGCATGAGATTGCAAACACTATGTGTATTTTAACAGTGTTTTACTAGAAGCCTAATTTAGAGACTTATTTCTGAACTTGTTCCTTTTAGGTGGGTCATTGGTTTGGCAGGGGTGAAAGGGCTTGGAGCAATCTCAGATTACACTCATTTCTGTGGCAAAGGCTAGACTGCATAGATGCAGTCTCTGGGGCTGGGAAATGAGAGGCTGTGCTGGAGCAGGATTTGGCACCGGGAACCCTGTGAAAAATAGGGAAGAAGTCCCATGCTGGAGCAGCAATCACTTTTTCCATAGGAATGCAGTTAACTGTACCAGCCCTTTTACCCTGAAATCTGTGTGTCTCTCCTTAGCAGGGAAATCATTTGATTCAGCCAGGAAGATGAACATGAAAAATATGGAAGAAATTTCTCTGCTATAGGGAGAAATTTACTTGGCTACACATGCTCTCATTACTGGTATTCCTCTCCTGGCTATGAGTAGGCAACAGTGAGGAAAAGAAGTGATAGTGGCTATGACATACGAATCCCTATAACACTGAAATTACCTTATAGTTCAGGTGAAAAAAGAACAGTGGGTGCTGGGGAAGTAAGAGTGCTCCTTCTTGTGACCATGTCTGCAGAGGAAGGGTGCTGAGGTGCTCATCCTTGTGGAGAGGGAGCGTGTCCCTGTGGGCTGCTGTGGACAAGCTCTGTATCTGCACATCCCTCCTCCATTCTGAACCCATGCAGGTGCCAACACAGGTTCCAACTCCTGCGACCTTGGCCAGTGCATCCTCGCGGTTAGAGCGTCTGGCAGAGCCCTGTGTCAGGCAGGTGACCTGCTGCTATAAGCACAGCTATCCTGAATCTGTCATTCGTCCGGTAAGGCAGCATCACCCGGGACCCTGTATGGAAGGGACACTTGGCAGAGGAGAGGGCACGGGTGCTCAGTCCCTTGTGGCTCTCTTCATGGCAGCCCTGAATGTGCTGCTCTCTGTAAGGCTGATGCAGCTGCTTCCTGAGCTGGAAAGCAGGACTCATCTTCCATTCAGAGCATGAGCTGACTCCCGTAGATGTCCCCAGAGAATGGCAGAGCTGAGCCTAGCCTGCAGTTGTGGGGATGGGGTGAGGGAGACAAGTGTCTAACCAGGATCTCCAGTGCTGCGGGGTGGGTTGGACAAAGGGCTGTGGGTAAGGGGAGGCTGGAGGGCAGGTTGTGGGAATGGCCAAGCAGTGATTTCTGCTTCTACAGTTTGTCTGGTGCCAAACATGTCTGAGGACAGGATTGTGTCCCATCTGCTTGTAGTCAGTGGCTGTGAACCTGGGTACACTGAGTTACTGGAGGCTGACCACCCTCGAATGCCAGGAGCACCTCTAAGGACCTTCCTCCTAATTCTTCCACAGGTTTCCAAGTCAGCTCAGCAGGCAGTTGCGAGCCCTCGGACCATTGAGCTGGCTAGGCCAAAGAAACTGCATTCTAAGTACGCGGCCCCGCGGGATCCTCAGTGGCCAGTGTCAGAGGCTGCCAAGCGTGCAGTGGCTACACCAAGGATTGTGGAACTGGCCCAGCCTGGCAAAAGGTAGGTGCTGCTTCCCTGTCATGGGGAAATTATCAGCTGCCAGCCCATTTTCTGCAAGCCATAGCACCTTGGTGATTTGTGTTTGGCCAGTGAGATTAAGCCACTGTTCTTCCACTTCCAAAATGCATGGATTTTCTGTGTCTGGATGTGATAATGCTACATGGGTTGTGCAATTTTGAGGTGGAAGGACAGTCAAAAGAGAAGAAATAGGAACTTTCTAATTCCAGCAGGAATTACTGGTTGGGACTTCTTATTAATTACTATCATAAAAATCACCCAACTGGCACAGGGCACAATGTAGCACATTCATGTTGCCCAGCATGATGCAGCTGACCTCAGTCCAGCCTGCAGGAAGTGCTGGATAGGATGTTTCACAGAGGGTGGGGGAATGCCTGGCTGTAGTGACTGCCAGACAGTCCCTCTCCTGGTGACAGCAGTGGAGGCATGACTCCTTTTGTCCTCCCTTGGCAGGGAGGGGCAGGGCGCAGGTGGAGGTGTGTCAGCTGGCAGCTGGCCCTGCTCTAGTCGAGACTGACCATCCCTACTCTCTCTCCCCCAGGCCTCCCATGGGCTTGGCTCAATTCAACCTAGATGCATTCAGAGTGAAGGAGACTGCTATGAAGGCAACTTGTTCTGATCGGATCCGAGAACTAGCTCGCCCAGTTCAGCGCTAAGCTCCCTCAGAAATGCACCTGCCAGCTGCCCCCATCACCCCTTGGAACATCACTCTCTCTGGGATGTGCTGTGCGTAGAAAATCTACTTGAACACAGCGCAGAGGCAGCACTCAGCAGGAACACTTTCTGGGAATTCAAATAAAATGGTCACTCCTTAAGAATAGCCACCAGGGGAAATGAACAGAATTTGACCTAATGTGGGAAGCCTCTCTCCCTAGGATGGGTTATATCTGCAGTTTCTCTCCTTATTGTTTTGCTGTAATAGTTAAAGAAGTAATGAAACAACTGCTGGGGGAAGGCAGCACAGGACCTGTTCTTTCACACAAGAAAGTGTGGCAAACCAAACGCAACAGCATGCAGTAGGGTGATGCAACACAACTCCTGAACTTGGGCTTAAAAATTTTTGCTAAAGTTTAAAGAACTTCTTGCTGACACAAAGTTTTGTGCTTGTGACAGAAGTAGAGACACAAAAGGCTGCAATGTATGTTGAGTTGGCTTGGATTTGGGGCCTGTTTTCTCAAACGCCTGAAGAACAAGCAGATCCAGCCTTTTCTGTTGCATGCATCTTTGATACACATTATGCATCTGGGTAAAATCTGTCCAGTTCAGATACTCAGTTGTGTCACCCTGAGCAAAATAAGGGAGCTCTGCATTGGGATTTTTGGAGCCTAACTCAAAAAAGCAGAGTTCCCCTCAGTGTAAGAGAGAAAGCACATTGCAAAGGCGAAGAAGAAAACAGATATTGATGCCAGACTCTGCAGAACAAATTCTGAGCTCCAGTTGGGTCTGAGAGCAAGTCAGTTTGGCAGCTGGATTGCAGGGGAACAACATAGCCTTTGGGGGACATGGCATAGGGAGAATGCTTTTATCTGTTTCCTACAAGTTTGGTGTGCTTTGCCCTGGCAGCCCAACCACTGGCAATGGGCTGGAGATACTGAGGCAAGAGAGATGCTCACCAGTAAGGGACAAAAGCCACAAATGAAAGCATGTGGCAGTTTCAGAGTCAATGTATTTTAATCTTTCCTGTGTTAAGCTGATTCTCCTTCCAAAGAAGTAGAGGCAGGTGACCACAAACCAGAAGGGGATTAATCAGAGGATCCATTAATCAATTCAGTAATCCACTAAGCAGAGGACTTTTGAACCCTCTTGAACAAGGTAAGGTCACTGGGAAATGGTGCTGGTTATTTTTAGACCATGTGTTGTCCTGTAGGAGGATGGATGAGTCTGGGTTTTGTGCAAGAGCCCCAGCACAACTGCATTCCTCAGGCCTGAGAATGGCCAAGAGGAGGCTGGAGTCTGCCCCCTACACCCCTCACCCTGTGGGAGAACCCCAGCAGCACCAGCCCCTGCCACCTCAGGGCTGGTGTGCATGGGGCTGTATGGGCTGCTGTGCAGGGACCCATGGGCGCCCTAGAAGATGAGGCTGCCCATGTCTGTGGGCTGTCCCTGTGGCAAGAGGGAAAACCCACAGTGGCCACTGAGGCCATCTTGGAGAAATGTTGCCCTCCCAGAGGAAGGAGTCTGCCTCCTGCCATTAGGGCAGGGAACACAAGCAGGGACATAACACAGCTCCTCTCAAACAATCAAAAAACATTGTTTTTTTTATTATTGCATTTGGGGGAAAAAAACCCCAACCTACTAGTTCCTTCTCTTTGTTGACCTTTAACAGAAAGGTAAAAAAGGCATTCAAGGAGGGCTTGGCTTGGTCTGATTATGGTGTAGGCACTTGGTTTGCCAAGATCCAGAGCTGACTCTGGCATCTTGAGCTAAACAAGGTCACCTGAACAACACATCTGGTTTCCCAGGTGCCCTGCTCTCTGGATTATCTCTACCTTAAAGCTAGTACACATATTTTGCCTCTGGGGATTGTAAGGAAAATGAATCTTTATTTCCTCCTTCTATATTTGAACATGTTTCATGGCAGCTTTTCTGCAAGCCTGGGACAAGAGCATGAGATTGCCTTGTCCTGTGCAGCTGGTGTTAATGGGTTGGAATCACTAGACAGGTTACCAGCCATCAAAAGCTGTATGCACACACACATACATATATATATATATATAATGTTCTTTTTTTTGGTTATGTACATGTTAAATAAAACTTATGTTAAATAGCAGAGTATTACTTTGTATCGCAAAACCTATTGCAACAGAAGAACCCCAGCAAAACCCACTCTGAAGAGCTTCAGTATCATTTATAGGAGGCATGGAGATCAGAGCAACATCCTCTAGTCCCTGACAGACCCGCTTTCTGAGGGCAGCCCTTCAGACTTCCTCCACTCTGCCAGGCGCTGCTTGAACCATTTCTGGAGAGAAAGAACAGAGCAGGGGTTGAGTGCACTGGGCTGAGTGAACCCTCCAAATAACTTTGCTAAAGGTGCAGATGTGGTCAGCACATGGGACCAGGCAAGGGAAACTCATGGTACTGCTTCTTGTAGCAAGGCACTGTACTGTTCCCAGGCAGTACGGACAGTCGCTCCTGACCAAACGGTCTTGTTAAACTACATGTGCACCTCTTTCAAACTCATTTCTCTTGCTCACTTCAGACTTTGACAGCATGGCTGACTTCATATTTTATTGCTGTGAGTCCAGGTTTTTCTTGCAAACAGAATAAGAGATTGGCTAAGGAGCTGGATGATGTCTGTTTAAATGAGCAGTGAAACAATCACTTTCAAAACTGACAGGAATCAAAAGTTGAACTGCTTCAGAAAGGATGACAGGGACAGCACAGTGGCTCTCAACAAATTTAAGAACAAATAGGTTTTAAAAATTGTTTAAAAATTATCTTAGTCTTCAAGCAATATGCATGTCTATGTTCTTTAGTAACTTAGCATTTGTAAGCCAACTTCAAGAGCTGCTGATGCCATTTCAGCACAGCCACAACTTAAAATATTAGATAAAATGCATCTGGTTAAAGCCACACTACCTAAGAAGAAAAGTAAGAAAAGAGATATAACTCATGTGCCGGAAGCACAGCTCAGCCTTTTGTTTGGCAATGTGCCTGTGATTCCTTTTGTCGCAGCTCATCTTGTTGCTATATTTGTTCATGACTATTTTTGAAGCTATTATGGTCCATAATGATACAACCACAGTGCTCTGTACAAGTGTCTCTTGCACTCACACTGCCTTGGATCACATCCAGTCAGATGATCGACAGCCTAGCTTCCTCCCAAAAATGTCACTTTCTGTCCTAAACCATCATCTCCGGTTGACTCAGTACCTCTTTGCATCTCATTTTTACTGAATTTTTTATTAAAATGGCTGCTATTTCTAGCTGATAAAGCTCTCCAGATGTCAGGAGCAATGGTTCTCTGTGTTATGCGCAGTGCAGGCACTTTGCAGCTCACCATCCCAATCTTGATCCTGTCCCTAATGTGACCTTCATCTCCAGATCTCTAGGAGCACCCTTGACTTGTGGAAAAGGAGGGCTATCAGGGAAGATTTTAAGATATGTGGGCATATCTTAAAACATATATGACCTGTTTTTACAACTTGCTTTAGGGAAAAAAAAAATGGAACAGTGCCATTTCTAAGGAGAAAAAGGTATTTTAGGGATACTGCCTCCTTGCTGCCTCAAATAAGCAGTGATACCTCCCTGTCACCAAAGCACAGTAGAGGAGGGATCCCCTTTTCTGCTCCAGCTAACACTGCTTGCTTGCTCTTATATCCTTTTGGCTGTGCTGAAGGAAAGCCAGGCTTGGCAGCTCTCTGCAAACTGCTGCTAACTTTCCAGTGTGTTGGATTTCTTTTCTATACCCATCAATGCTGCTATGAGTCTAGTAGCTTATAAAACACCTGCATCAAAATGAGCTGCACCGCAATCTGAAGGAATTGGGAAGGAGCCGTTTGCTTCTGAATCCTGTGGTAGCCTGCAGGTAGGCAGATGGAGCACAGGGCTTGGTGGAATTCCCAGACAGTGGCAACCTGTCCCTGTGAAGGGTTATTTGGAGGCCTCTGTGTCTCCTGGAAAGGCTCACAGACTTGCCTTACATCTGGGCTTGGGGACTCTGGGGTATCTAATTGCAGTGAGAGGGAGTGTGCCCAGCCTGAGCGTGTCCTGCAGCACATCCTGCAGGTGTTGCATCTATCCGGTATCTGTTTTTAAATGACTGTAGTTTCTTCAGACGATGAAGTCAGCAGTGGTTTGGGTAACCAAGACTATCAGAAATGGGTTGGAAGAACAGCATGCATGGATTGTATATTCGGGGCAGGAACATACGGGGTGCAGGGAGCATGTGGGTTACAGGGGTGTGCTGTGTTGCAGTAGAGCTTCGTGGGTGCAGTGTGGGGCTAGGGCTGTGCTGGGGGTTACAGAGGTGCAGAGGAGATTGTGGGTGCAGCATGGGGTGCAGTGAGCAATATGCACATGGGACACAGAGGAGTGCAGAGCACGTTGGGGGGACCATGAGAGGTGTAGGGGCTGCTGTAGAAAGCCTGTGAGGGGACAGACAGATAGAGATGTCTAATGGAGAGACCAGCACAGGACAGGCAGCAGATGTGGGGAGAGTGTATGGGGCACAGAGGCATGCAGAGCATGCAGGGCTGGAGCCAGGAGAGGGGTGGGGGGGCATACACTCACCAGGGTCTGCTCCTCAGAGAGTCCAGTCTCAGCTGCGATGAGGCACAGCGTAGTGGGGTCAGGATGCTTGTTCACCTTGCAGAAGTTGTACTCCAGGATCTCCAGCTGCTCCTCAGTGGGAGTCACTGGCTTTTCCGTGGCCATCTTCTCCTGGGGCAGGGTTATGGGGCCAGGCACTGCAGGGAGGGGCTGGTGTCATTGCTCAAGCTGGAAGTGGTCAGTGGGGCCACACTTGCTGAGCCCCAGATTTGCCATCCCTGTCCCCACCAGCTCCCCCCTCCGCAGTGGCCTCTGGCTGTGGCAGGGCACAACTCCCTTCCCAAAGACATGCCACAACTCCCTTCCCAAAGACATGCCACAGAGCTCAGCTGGGAGTGCCAACCCCTCAGCCTCCCAGCAACTCCTGCCTCAGTTTCCTTACTACGGCAACCGCACGCCAGCAGTGCCCAGCTGAGCTGTCTCACCATTCTTAGCTGGCAGGAAACTGCAGGCTGCTCAGCGCTCTCCTGGTGCTGTATTTATAGCCAGCGTGATTCCCATGGGGACGATTCCTGTTTACAGCCGTATTTAGACCTGGGCGTCACTTAGGAGTGATGTCACAGCAATGGGAATGTTCAGGGGGGTAATTTAAAGACATTAGTTAAAAAACATTATTTATCCTCTGGGTGAAGGGACAATATCTGGCATCCAGCCTAAGGGGTTGGGTTTTTTTTTTCCTTACTTTCCAGTGATCAGGAAAGTTTGTGCAAGGGAATCACAAAACAGAGAATGCAGAATCTTTTGGGAGCATGGTCCTTGACACAGCAATCACCCTATTTCCCCTTCTGATCATGTCCTGGTTCTCTTAGCAGCGTGGCCAGACATCACACAAAGCTGGTGATGAGTGGGTGAGCTGCTTTGTTTTTACTGATATTTAATGTTATCATGCGTGGGCATAAACAGTTAGTCCTACTACTCCTGAGCATCACAGAACTATTTATTTGGTTTTTGGTGTATAAGTGAAGGGTCAGTCCTCAGAGGACTGCACCCCATGCATATCTGTTGCCCAGGCACTCACTGCCTTTGGCTGTGGTCAGTGCTAGGTGTTCCCAGCAATGGCAGAAATAAGAAGCCCATACTGCCCTCCAGAGTAACATTTGTCCCACTTGTGCTTTGCATAAATCTCTGGAAGGCTTAGCCCAAAAGCACAAGCAAAACAAGTAAGTCCCACACATCTCTTCTGCTGGGCTTCAGGTTTGCTCCTGTGTGGCAGAGGGTCGAGCTCGCCAATTCAGTTAACTAAGACACAAGGCGTTGCCCCCACAAAGCATGCAGAAGTCCCTTGATGCTGAATCATTTTGGTGTTTTCGAAACCAGGCTGTGGGGTGTTGGTGGGGGAGGAGCTGGATGAAAAATGTGGCCTTTCTTGATCTGCTCTCCTGCTGTCCAAGTTGCCTGGCCCATCTCTGTCAGGTGGGCTGGTTGGTATTGCTGGCTCTCCAGTGCTGCCAGGAGCCCTTGGCCAACCTTGAGACTCCTCTGGGCCATTCACTGCAGACTTGCCCTGCCTCCACACTGCAGTCCAGCTTCTCCTTTCCTTTGGCTCTGGGATGTAACCCAGACACCTCCATCATGCTGCACCCATACTGAATAGCTTTAAACCCAAGCACTTTCTTGGCTGACTGATAACTTACCTGGGTACCCTGGGATACTGAATGCCCCAGGGCTTTCACTTGCTGACAGAACTGCTAGGATGGAGCTCAGCTTCAAAACTGTTTTGCAGCTTTCAAAGAGCCAGCTCTGCTGTTCACGAGAGTCTGGAGAGATCCTCTTCTTTGAGCTTTACCTCATAAAGCAAAGGCCCTCCTGAACCTAGTCTGCAGAAGCTGCTTTGACTAACAAAAGAATCCTTTGGCATTTGAGTAGGGGCTTATAAATAGACCAGGGCTGGTTGTGAAACAGCCTACTCTGCTTGAGTCACTCGATAAATACTGATTGTAACATAGCGGTTGCGAAAGGTTGCAGCACCTCTGAGTGTGATGGAGTGCTGGTAGACAGTATCATCCACTAGCCCTGGATGGACTGGTGAAAGCCTGGCTTTAACCCCAGGTACTGCAAGCCGAGCTGGCCTTGTCTACGGAGAGTTGCAGCTGCCTGGGCTTTCTTGGGGTCAGCTCAGTTCAGAGGCATCCAAATAGGAAGGGAGCAGCCAAAATTCAGTTCCTCAGGCATGTGAGGTAGCGGGGATCTGCTGAATGCTGCTCACCTACTTTGGGCATTTGGAGACCTCTGGAAAAGATGCAGGGGGAGAAGGAGGTCCCCTGGACTTCAGGTGCTTCTCTCCAGCACCACGGCTGCCAGGCTCTCCATGAGGTCAAAGTGCAGATGAGGCCAAGCTTAAGCCACAAGTCCTGCCTCTCCTCCTTGATCAGCACTCTACTGAGCCACCTGCCCTTCTCCTAGAAAGCGCAGCCACCACAGGGCTCCTCATCACCTCTGGATCATAAATCCAGAGCTTGTACCACCAGCCTGTGGCTTGTGCCACCAGCAGCAACATGTCTTGGCGATTCATAAATCATTGTTTGCCGCCTGCTGCATTAATATACGTTAATGTGAATGCACTGATTTGCATAGGGAGCATGTGCCTCAACTTTCATGTTTCACCTGCACAGCTGTTTCTGTTTATCTCCAAGCTCCTGAGGCATTTCCCCGTAAGACACAGTGTCTTCTACCTGCTGGCAGCCCCGGGTGCTCCAGCATGCATAATGTGATGCCCAATGGCTTTTCCTTGTCTCCTCTCTAACCCTGCTCTGGAAGGACAACAGTTCCTACCTCTCAAGGCTGTGAAGTGGCTTTCAGGAAAAGGCCAAAACCCTGGGGCTCCTGGAGGGCTCTACAGGTCTCCCCACATCACTCCACTAAGTCCTGGAGGCTTTCAGGAGCCATGTGGCCCCTGTGCAACATGCAGCATCCAGCATTTAGCACCTCTTGGGTGCTAAAAATTGGTGTATATGACACAACTTGAAGGCACCAGGAATGCCTAAATGCCCTGATTGGCCCTACCTGGACCACTTCTCACCTGCCTTCTATTTAAATGGAGGCTCGGTTAAGCCCAGGCCTGCAGCCTGGCCTTCAGGCTGCCTAGGACCTCTCCTCTGTACAGGAAAGGTACAAATGTCTTGCTTATGCTTCTTTAAGCCTGGCAGAAAGATGGAGACTCATAGCTGTTTGGCTCAGCTGCTGAAAATCAGTGCTGCTTACTGCTTTTTTCTCACTAAAGTTTTGAAGGCATTGGAAAAAAAAATGGTTTTTCCAGTGCAAAGGATGTTAACCATCTATTTGGCTTTCAGAAAGGCTGTGGGGCTGCAGTTGTCATTCAGCTCTGTGAACAGTCCCCTGAGAGCTGTGTGTCAGGGGTTTACTCACACAGGCAGAAATGGCAATGCCAGATGCACTGTCACAGTGAAACCACCACAGCTTTGGTGACACCTGCTCTGTCCTAAGTCAAGCTAAAAACCCCTGGGGAATTCACACTTGGCTCTGACTATCTTGGTTTTAGGTGGAGCAGTATTAAGAGCAGAAGCTTGCAAGGGGTTCAACAGTTGCCTGTGCTGTGGGCGGCTCCAGCCAGCCTTGCTGTGTACATGACAGCACCTGGTGCTCTTAGTGTGGCTGATAGGGCATTGAAGTGGACCTCCAGAGCCATTTTGGAGTGAGCAGACAAAAGGTAATGGCCGATGGACACAAGTTGCAGCAAGAGAAAGTCTTACTAGGTAGATAGATAGATATTGTACTACCCGTGTCCTGTGGTTGCATCCAGCTCCTCAGAAACACCCCGAGTTACTAGCAGGACTCCTAGCTCTGGCCTGAAATGGGAGAGGACATCCCTCTGTCTCCCAGCATGCTTGTTCAGCACTGCTAGTGCAGTCAGCATTTATTATCCTGGCAGAAATCTGCTGCTTTTCCAGAAAAGACATGATCTCTGTTTGCTCAGCTTTGGTTTTTTGAACAGTAGTCACAATAGCTGGCTGGCTGTGTAACTTTCTAACAATTTACTGCACCCAAAGCCCCTGGAAATCTCTCTGAGCAGTAGCTCCTGCCAAGGTGATGGGGCCCCCATAGCCCCTGTTGGGTTTTTTGTCCCCTTCCCCAGTGCTCCCAGTGTCAGGGCTGGGATGCAACTGGAGGCATCTGCATCTGATTTTAGCCTGCAGCTATTTCCTGCCACTGCAGGGATCAAAATAGCAGTTCTCAATGCAAACAAGCCCTCTAACCCTGCCTTGCTCTGCTGCAGAGCCATGTCTTGTCCTGAGCTTTGCCTGGCCTCTTGCTGTGGGGTGGCTGTGGATAACGTCAGCCAGCATGGTGCACAGGATAAGGTGGGACACAGGCTTTAAAAATAAACTGGACCCTGCCATAAATAAGGAAAAACCACCTGTCATGCATCCGGTAAACCACCCGTTGAGCCTTTTAGAAGATATTATCGGATGCGAACAAAGCAAACAGCACAGCAGCTGCTGCAGCAGAGGCAGGTCCCCGTGGTAGCTCCCGCCTGGGGTCTCTGCCTGCCTGTGCGCCCCTTGCCCTGCCCCGGGCATGAAGCTTTCTCACTCAGACCGGCTCCAACCTTCGCAGTACCAATACTCACAGGGCAGCTCCTCCCTTCATCACCCACCTCCCCATCCCCAACAGCAAATCCACTCCAGCACCCCTAGCTCAAAACATGTGCTTACCTGGAGCTGGCAGGGACCAGAAGTGTGTAAAACAAGAACCCCGCAGGTCCTTGGGTGACTGCTTAAGTATCTGCGTGTGTGTGTGACAGGCGGGGACCTGAAAAACCTGCCGCAAATCACAGGAGCTCCCGGGATCCACAGCCACTCTCTGGGCTGGTAATTCAGGTTTGGCATCCACTCTCCTTGGCAGGGCTCAACGCATGGTTGTACGCGCTGCGGGGCTCTCGGACGGGTGTCACCGGCAGCCGTCGGGGCTCGTCCCGCCACTCTCCGGGCTGATGGACACCGTCCTACGGGCCCCGGGCGAGGGCTGCTGGGGCTGTTTCCTGCAGGGGTACAGGAAGGGTGAAGGCGGGGTGCGGCGGAAACTGCGCTGAGCTGTTCGTTCATCTGCACTCCCTGTCCTCCTCGGCTGGGATGGGTCCCGCTCCCCTGCCGCGGGGAGCCCCGCTCCTGGCTTTGCTGATGGAGTACGGTGGCGCTCACTCCTTTGCAGGGCTGGTTTCTGATCTCACTTCAGTCTCTTGCAAATGATGTGTCCAGGTTTAACATTCCTGACTCTGCTGTCACTTTGGTCAGCCGTGTGATCCCGCCAGGCTGGGTGTAGGGGCAGGACTGGCCCTGGATCTCACCTGCTGCTGCAGCCCAAGTGCCCTCCAGAGGCATGGGACAGGAGCCTGGCTGGGAATGGGGAGGAGGGTAGAGCATCCTCTTCTGCCAAAGACCAATATTCTCCTCGTTTAAAGTGCCCCGGAGCCTGCAGTTCCCACTGGGGTGGTCTGGAAGCATTAGACAGCATCTTAAAAAGAGGCAGCTTGTCGGGTGGGGTGCAGTGGGGAGGGGCTGATTTTCTCTCAGCTTACAGACAGCTGGAAGAAGATGCTGGAAAATCAGAGAGGCTGGAGAAAAATTGAGTATGAGTTGCAATGGCTGAGATTATCTGCCAGAGCAAAATGCAAACTGGCACAGGATGCAAAAAGCTGTGGAGCTGACTGGAGCCAGGGCCAGGGAACCCTGCCCCTGGGGAGAAGTGGCTGGACAAACACAAGAAACCTGCCATATGTTTAGCAATGAGCCAAAACCATCCCAAAGAGATTTTTAATGTTGGGGAAAACATGGGCCAAGACAAGGGGATTGCAAAGACATCTGTGCCGAAGGGCAGGCAGACCTGTGCCAATTTTCCTGGCAGGATGACATTTATGAAACGAGTGCTTTTGCTACAGGGATAGCTTCACTGCCTGATAAAGCAAGTGAAGAGAAGTCTTTTGGAGAAGACTTGATCCTACATGCCCTGGGCAGGCACCTGGCCAAGAAATTACGTCCTGTTTATCACAGGTGTTAAGCAACAGGAACATGGTTAGCAATGGGTGCGGACAGGCAGGTTGGAAGATGTGTCCAACAGGATGGCTCCAGCAGCCATGGCTGGGGGACATCAGGGTGCATTCAAGGAGGCTGGAGCAGACCCCTGCAGCAGGAGTCAGCCCTGGATTTCAAACCCAGTGTGGGAAAATCCAGGTAGAGGTCCTGAACTGAATACTGTCACCTGCTTGGGGGAGCTCCAGTGGATATTGCTACTTATCTGCCCCATGCCCATGCTCTGCTCTGGCATCTGCTCTTGGCTAACCTTGGAGACAGGATAGATGGGAAAATACTCTGCCCAGAAACATTTTCGTATGTTTGTATGCTGTCTTTTATTTTTTTCCATGCATGTGCCCCGAGCATTGCAAAATGTGAGTAACCTGGCCCACAGGAACAGGATGGGCTCCTCTCTTCCCTTGTTTATTACTGTCAACAGAAAGAAAGTCTTTAATGTGGAAAAACCCTTTTCCCTTAGCCTATGAACCCAGCCCAGATTTGCACTGGGAGCGCTGGCAGTGACATGTTTCAGGCTGAGACACACCACTGAAATGTCTTCAGAGGTGCTGAGAGTCCTGAAGTGGTGACAGCGTGAAAGTCACATCATGAATCTACCCACCTGTGCCTGGCACATGCTAATGCTTTCCTGATCTTTTCTGAATTTTTTTAGGCCCCATTTCTCCTTCTGGGAGAGAGTCAAAGTACTGCTGGAGTTTATACCTTACCTGGTATGAAGTGATCCTGTCCCCGGAGGATGTCCCTTTGTCAGCAGAATTAGATTAAATAGAAACAAAATGCAGGGTGCATCCAGGGCTATCACAGAGAATTTTTCCTGACAGGGGAAGAAGTACAGTTGTTGTGATGTGCATTTGACAGTCTTGCAAGATGCTATGGCATTGCAGGGTGGAGTTGACAGCTGCAGCCTGCATTCAGCACCCCACTCCTCTGGACCCCTCTTGCAGAGGCTTGAATATCATCCATGTTGCTCCATGGCAACATGGAGCTCCATGTTGGCTGCAGTCACTTTGGGAGGAGCACTGGACACACAGCTCATGGCTATCCTGGCCCAAATGTTGTCCCCCTAAAGCTGCATGGAGACAGAATGGAAAAAAGATGAAAAGTAGAGGGGGGAAGCAACTCGTCAGGCCATCAGGATAGAATGGGATATAATTTAGCTTTTCTGACTTGTTCATATTGCCTCCTTTTCATGCATCTGTCTTTCTTGAATTTTGCCATGTTTTCTTTCCTCAAAATGAGGCTTAGTACCAGCACCTCTTGTCTGGGCATTAAACAGAGATTTCTTTCTTTTTCTAATTGTGTAAATTAAAAAATGTGTGCTTTCGAGAGACTCCACCCCAACCCAACTGTCAGATAGAGAGCAAAACCTTCCTTTCTCCCTCTGAGCATACCAATGCAAAGGAAAACCTCAAAAGCCATCTTCTGTTTTGTTTTTCAGTGGTTTTTTTCCTGATGTGCTGGGGTTTTCTGGCTACTAATCCAAAAAATGTGGCTGGAAACAAGGCTTTACTGAATTTTTTGGCTTCCATTCAGTCAGAGAAGAGTTTCCTAACCAGCCAGTACTCACTTACAGGACAACTCTTGCAGTAAATCAGATGAGATTTCTACCTGCATACGCCGCTTGCCCCAGAACAGCGTAAGAAATCAGTCACTCTTCAGGGTGCAGCTAACAATTGCCTTTGATATCCCAAAACACGAGAACCTGACTGAATCACTGATCTTTTGATCAGTTTTTCCCTAGGAGAGCAGCAACACTAGCTGCAGCCAGAGAGTCAGCAGCATGCAGTGCTCACTCAGACCATGCCCCAGGCAGGGGGAAGAGGAGGTGGGCACAGGTGGCCCCTTGCTGCTGGAGCCGGGCTGCCTGCTGCCCACCCGGCTTCAGCAACTGCCTCTCCTGCACTCTCCTTCATACATTTTCCTTTTTTTTTTAGTGGGCAGGGTTCAGCCTGTCTCTCCTCAGCATTAGAACAGATCCAGGCCAGACAGATACTAATCAGACGTGACTTCCAGTAAGATCCCTGCCTTTACTTTGTGGGATACAGTCGTGTGGATGGAAACTGCAATGTTTTATTATTCCTCCAGTTGTTCCAATACTTCTCAGAGAACAGTGTCATCTCATTGGTATTTCCATGTGCAATCTCTGCCTGGGGTACAGTCTTTCTTCCTACTCTCCCTCTTACTAACCAGATTGTTTTGAAGTGACTAAACCAGGAGCTGATACATGCAGTTCCTTGCCAGGAGGATTTTCAACAGCACTGCCATTGCTTGTGGGCAGAGCGTGCCCCAGCACGCAGAGACAGCCGGCAGGGCATCCCACGTGTGAGCCACCTGACATGCCTAGCCCAGGGAAACATGGGCTCCAGCACAGGGCAGAGGCAGGGAGGAGGGCAGAGTAGACATGCAGAACTGCTTTCTACCCTGGAAGTGCCAGAGGTATGCGAAGGGGAGCGAGTGCCCTTCCACAGATTTGGATGGCCACGCGTTTTCGAGGGAGCAAGTCAGGGAGGCAGCGAGGCAACTCATGAGTTGAGATAAGAACAGTTTAATACTCGAAACAAAGTAAAATATAATAATGATATTAAAATATAACTGCGACTAATCAATAAATAGTAATAACGATAAAAATAATAATGAAAAAAACACAAACAAAAAAAATAAGTGATGCACAATACTACTGCTAACCACATGTTGACCAATTCTGAAATCAGTATTCTGAAATCTGTTCCGTTCTGAATCTCTAGGCTGAAGCTGCCTGGTTTTGGAAGTCCTGACTGAAATATTTCAGTTGTCAAATACTTCAAGGTCAAAGGAGGGACTTCATCCTTTCCCAGAGCAGGGATGAGCTCTCCCCAAACACTTGCCTGCCACCAACACGGCCTTCTCAGTTGTAAGCAGGCATGCTATCCTGAAGCCCTGCTTCAAGGCTCCTGGTGTGTTGAGCACAGTTGCTGACAATCCCTGGCTGTCATGGAGCCCAGCCACTTTCCTCAGCCTTCACCCTTCAGGGACAAGGATCATCTTTTCCCCTGTACTGTCCCATGCCAGGTAGCCCATGGGTGCTGTGAGGGGCAGGCAGGGAGTTCCTGGCTGCAGGGGGTGCCTGGCCGTTGCACCCACTTTGCAGCAGCAGTGCCGTGCAGCCAGCCCTGTGCTTTCCATCGGAGCAGTTTGGGTGGGTGGGAGAGGGCCTTGGTCGGTGCCTACTGAGAGGTGACCCTGGTGCCACCAGCTGCTGGGGCGTTGCCACAGGTGATGAACAGGATGAGTCATCTCCATGTGACACACACCACAGCTCCTGTGGCACCTGTGGTACCCCATGGCAGTGGCAGGTGACCAGGATGACTTGCAGAGTGACAGTGAATAGGGATGGGATGTAATGGAGACTGGCCTTCTGCTCCAGCTGCTCTGTTGGGTGTCAGGGAGTGGCTTCAGGAGCCCTATGCAATAAACTTTAAAAATGTTTTCCCCTTTAAGAGCCTGGTTGCTAAAGAGGGTTCCTAGGAAGCTAGCACTGACAAGGTGTCACAGCTACCTGGGTGCCAGCTGCCAACAGTCTTCTCTGCACAGCTGGCCATGGGGATGGTGGGTGAACACAACAGAGGCACTTACAGCTGGCTTCCTCATTGCTCTGACAGCCTCATCACCCTAGGGAATGGGTCACCCACCGTGGGACATCCCCTGCTCCTGGGAGTTCCCTTCTGCTCCAACTTTGGGGGCTGGGGCACTCTGCTGTCAGTGTGTTGGTGTGTGTCTAGTGTGTTCGGCAGGGAGGCTCCAGGATGGAGGAGGATGCTCCTTACCATCTCTCAGGATACAGTGACTGGGCTGGTGGCTGGCAATGCTTTCCAGGGAGCAGAGTGCAGTGCAG